ATCACTGAGAGCTTCTCCCTTAACCTCACTAAATCTTTTGCCTTCTCTCTGCCTGCTCAGTTGTTTTCCTGTATGCTTGCATGAGTGTAGATTCCAAGATGCATCTACATAAGTCCATAGTTACTGCAAAGCACTACATCCTGCCCTTGGAAAATATAAGATTCCTGTAGGAATCTCCTTCAGAACCAATGTACCACGAGACTTCTCCAGCTTTACTTCATATTCCAGATCCAGATATCAGGCAGGCAGCCTAGGAGAGACACGAATGGATTTTGGTTTTCATTCTCTTAACACTGGTCTCTAAATAGTTGTTGCTCTGGCCCTAGCACAGCCCCCACCCCTAACACAACCAGTGCTGCAGCCCCTGGGCACTGCCCTGCCTGCAGGCTCGGTCCTACCTCTGCTTTTACCAGCTTATGAATGCTCAACCCTGGGGCCTATAGACCCACCCCATAAAAGGCTCCCTGAGCCATTGGAGAAGTCTGCCATGGGATGGGGAGCTAAAGGCAGAACTTTGGGAACTGATTTTGACTTGAAGGGCTATTTACAGTTCTCTTGGCTCAGTCCTTTTGTGAATGAAAATAAAAATTGTTAAATTTAGCTTGTAAAGGCAGCATCTTGCACAATATGACTGAATGCCAGCCTGCCTGTTACCACTCTCAATGCTGATCCGTCCTAATGCTGAAAGACGTTTTTATGAAGCCCAGGGTAGCAGTGTCCAGTGGTGTGACTGCATGCTGCAGGTGATGGCAGAGCTGAAGCATCGTTTTGCAACACAGCTTCCCTTCCACTACCTCTGCTCTCTCCTTTTGTATTCCATAACTCAGCTGTAGAGGATTTTGCTGGTTAATAACTGAGCAGCATGACCCAGTGCATAGCCCAAAGGGAGGAGGGTGTTCATGCTAGGCAGAGCACTGAGAATTCAGGAGGGACTTTTATAATCTACTGAACCACTTCAGAACTAAGAAAGAGCTGAAGATTATATAGTTCTTTCCAATGTTTTAATTACTCATCCATGCTTTTTTTTTTTTTTCTTTTTTTTTTTTTTTAGTGTCAGGCCTGTTCATGGTTTATGCTGGTTGAAAAAGGCAGATCAAGTTTTGCCCCTATATCAGAATGGTACTGAAGCGTGCATGAGGGTTTGCTCAAGTGGCAAAGCATATCTGATTCGAAAAAAAGCAAACAGCAGAGGCCATTTGGACAAGTCATGCTCCTGTACGCTTTTAATCAGTTGTGTCTGCCAAAACAGATCTTGCACAAGCAAATCTGGCTTCATGCAACAGGAACATTTCTGTGTGTATGCAAGCTGGGTTTGACTTCTTGATAATGTGGTCTCTGGAAGCAGTGTTAATGTGCTTGTTATATCCCTGGCTGCTGGAATTACCTTAATATCAAGGTATTCATGGTTGGTGTTTTGGTATGTAGCTCTATGTTTTACTGACTTTGTCTACACTAACTTCCTTACCAGCATGTGCTCTGATGGAAACTCTCCTTTGGCTTTTCCAAAGGGCTGGTGAGGAAAAGAGGTAGTTCAAGGGACATTAGACAGATAGACAAGTCTGAGATGTTTTAATTTTCTTCCTTCTTGAAGTATCTGTTTCCTTAACTGCACTTCTATTTCCATCTACAGTGTCAGTACGTTGTTTTTTTTCAGTAATAAAAAAATGCTCTGTCAGTGTAAAATCCATTAGCTAATAAACAGTATTTTATTTTATTTTTAATTTAGAAATGTATGGTACTATCATTATTCAGGCTTTTTTGCCTATATTGACTCACTGTGGTAGATATGCTTTCTGATGTAGAGGGAAAGGCATAGAAACCAAACAAACCAAAATGTTTTGAACTGAGGTTCTGGGGATAGTTTTTGGGGTGTAGAGTATCTGAGGTGTTTATATAAGCTATAAGATAGGAAATAGTAATACAGGTATTGTCACATGGGTTTTATACCCACAAATGATTTATTGTGGGACATTGTACTGGTCACCTCACTCAGGAAGTAGTGGGGAAGTGGACGGTAGGGAAGAAACCTTCTCTGAGGGCTGGGTTTATTCTACTGTTTGTTTTATCAGGTTTTTTTCCCCAGACTATTGCTGTTGGCTCCTGTCAGTGATAAGGGAGGGGAGAAGAGGCAGTACTGCTCTCAGGCAGAGATACTCTCTTCTCGTATCAGTGTGGCAGAGAAGAAGGATTTCTGCAGGGAAAGGAAACCAAGATGAATTTCCCTGAAAAGGAAAAAAGCACTTGATGAATTCAGGATCACACAGGATGAAGTGATGTAAGGGAAAAAAATAGGAAGCATATCAACACAAAAATTACCCTACCACCAAAAAAAGTATCAGAAATTGGCTGGAATCCATTTCAGGAAATCACTGCAAAGCTGAGTTACTTTGTCACATACAGAAATATGAATCAAGGGAGTACAAAGAAGATGACAGGAGAGATTTCATACAACCTCTGTCACCTCTATGGCAGACTCCAAAACTTTACACATGGGGACAGTAGAGAGGCACAGTGAGAAATGTCTTTTGTTGTGCTTTGAAGCGCAGTCTTGAGTGTACCAGACATTGTCTAAGGTTGCAGCCAAACTTTACTTCTCAATTTAAGACTGAAATGGCAATTTTTGCAGCTGCCTCTCTGCTGATGTAACTCAGGGAAGACATTTTGCCTTGCAGCTTACTTCCCAACCTCCTGTCTTTTGGAAGAAACTCTTCTGCTACAGCATTTCAGTACATCTGTGATGTTAGGTGTCTTCTACCAAGTCTGGAAATGTGGCAGGTTGCTGTGTCAGAATTTTCTCTATTTAGGGCAGGGCACAATATATATATCAGGTCAGAGTAGAAGGAAGGGCAAGGATGCTTACCTGGCCCTTGTGCGGGTTGAAACTGATGTTCCATCTGATGCTGCAGATGAACAGTGCAATGTATGCACACCAGGTCTGGCATACGGAAGGAAGTACCAGAGTCACAGTGCATGTCAGGAAGAACTGCCCTGCACAGCATGCTCAGTACATTCCAAATATGCCAGATTTATTTCCTGAAATGCCTACCACTCATACAGAAGCCAGTGTTTCTTGGTCATGGGAGAGCCATAGTGACTGTGGTGTGCTGAGTGTCCATGTACCCTTCACTTTCGGCCACCCCTGACCCTGATCAGGTAAGTCTATTCTTTGCCAAACCCATGAGCCCTGTGGCTGCCCCACCAGCTCAAGCCCACCAGCTGGAGCACCAACAAGGGAAGGTGGAGCCTTGGCCACTTCCATCCTCCTGGCCTCCAGAGGAGGAGGAGCTGGCTGCCATGGGGAACTGCTCCCAGGAGCAGGCATCCAGGTAGGCTGAGCAGGGAGATGGGATGGGTATGTGTTCTAGATGCTGGATTAGAGGTGCCAGCTAACTCCTGGCCTAGCAATTTGTGGCAAGGGAATTTATTCTGACAACATAATATTTGTGCCTGGAATTAATGGCAAAAGAGAAGTGTGCTTGAGAGGAAGAAGGGTACTTATTTTGGGACAGATTTCTGCACACGTTTTATAACCATGGCTTATGCAGGGCTCGGTGTGGGGAATGTAGCCTCTTCACTAAGTGATATGCATTTTCCTAAAAGGTTTCTCATTAAAGGTTGGATGTCTTTACCGTGCACTGACAGTAACACTTGACTTTAAGTTTGCCTACAGAGCAGTTGCATGCATACGCCTTCCCACCCCTACCCCTCCCAGCCCCCCTGTTTCCTCCCGTTGTTCTTTTTCAGATCACTTGAAGGTTTTTTCCTGTTTATTATCCGGACATGCTGTGCACTGTGTGTTGATTTGACTGTCACATAAGGAATCTCTTACTGGGATCACTGATGCATTCCTTTCATATATCTACATCTATATCTATAAAATCATGGCATTGGCTCCTATGCTACAAAAGGGAAATGCTAATGACAAAACCAAAATTGGGATGAGCTACAGGTGTTAATGAGAGTTAAGTTTAATTACCCTTTCCCAGAAAACCTGTAACAGTGTGATGGGTATAGTCAGAAACAAAAATGCTCCTTAATTGACATAACAGGAAAGGTACTTCAGTGAGCAATTATGCTGATGTCCTGGACTGGCACATGTGTGTACCACAAATATATCTTGTACTTCCTGCAAAATTCTTTTAAGTAGCTGTAAGGAAGTAGTTTTGTTTTTTTTTTTTTCTTTCCCAGTGGTTCATGAAAATGAATCACATACTTAAGGCTCTTTTTGAGGAAAACAATGGAACAAAACAATGCTTTTTGTACAACTTGCCAAAACACAAAGGATGCATGGGATGTTTTTTTTCTTTGTTGTTTTTAAACAGCAGGAAGTTTTGTTGTTGGAAACGACTATAACATGCACTGTTCTTGCTCTACGTAATCACTATCTGGTCCTGCGAGCCGGGTCTTGCTACTTGTCTCATCAAACTGGCACAGGCACCGCCTGCTTCACTCTGTGGGCTTTGTTCAGTCCTGAGTGTCTGCACACTTACCCTCCATCCGGACTGATGCACAGTAAACAAACTTCAGGAGTCGGGTGGTCCAATGATTGCTGGGTTCGCGCAGGTCAGGGCCCACGGCTAGAATGCTGACTTTGTGAACTGCCTCTTTTTTTTTTTCTTTCTCTTTTTTTTTCTGTCTTTTTTTTTTTTTTGCCTTTTGCCTTTTTTTTTTTGCCTTTTTTTTTTTTTTTTTTTTCCCCTTAGACAGCTTAAAATCAGAGTGCTGTACTCTGCAAACAACTTTGAAGCATTTTCAGGTGTAAATACTCCTTTCCAAAACTCAACTTTGAAGAAGTGTTCAGGTCTGCTTCGTTTCCCTGTAGGATAGTCGTAGGTTTGCAACAAAGAGCCAGATCCGATTGAGTAAATCACTTGTGGAAGTTAATTGTTCACAGTGAAAGCTGGTTTGGCTCATTTTGCCTCTGTCACAGGAAGAGACAGAGGTGGTGTGCTGGATCTGCCTTCTAAACCAAGCATAGAAGCGACTTTAATCTCGATCAGATGTCTCTCTTCAGGGCACTAAAGAAAACCTGCTCAGTAATCAAAAAGAGCCTCTTCTCTAGAAAAACGTAAGGAAAAAAATGTAATGTATTTTACAGAAATAAAGTGCTAATATGAAATTTCACCTCAGTCAAATTTCTTTTGCAGGCTGTCATAAAAGAAACCTACTTCTTCATATTTGGCAGCCACCAGAATCAAATCATGTTTTGTTGTTTGTTTGTTTTTCCCCCCCTGGAAAAAAGAATATAAAATTATTTGTAATGTCAGATTCGTATAATCATAACTTTGTATTTCAGCTGTTTTTATTCACTGTTGTTGTCTGATTATGTTTGTGCCTTCTCTCCATCAACATTTTCAAGTGCTTTTCAGAATCAGTTATGTACTTTGATTAATGAAGTCACTGTCTCCTTTTATTCTCTCCTTAGGACTGAAGCAGTAAGGATGGAAACCACCAAGGTTAATATGTCCCGTGTCCCGCTGGTTAATGGAGGCATCGACGCTGCCATGCTGAAGGCACACAAACCCCGTGTGATGTCCAAAAATGGTCACAGCAACGTGCGGATAGACAAAGTCGATGGCATTTACCTGCTCTACCTTCAAGATTTGTGGACTACAGTTATAGACATGAAGTGGAGGTACAAACTCACCTTATTTGCTGCTACTTTTGTCATGACCTGGTTCATCTTTGGAGTTATCTATTACGCCATTGCATTCCTTCATGGTGATTTAGAAATAAACAAGTTTACCCCAAAGCATGAGCCATGTGTCAAGAATGTTGACTCTCTGACTGGGGCATTCCTCTTCTCCCTGGAGTCACAGACAACCATTGGCTATGGATTTCGTTTCATTACAGAGGAGTGTCCTCATGCCATTTTCTTACTTGTGGCCCAACTGGTCATCACCACCTTGATTGAAATCTTCATCACAGGTACCTTTCTGGCCAAAATTGCAAGACCTAAAAAAAGGGCAGAGACTATTAAATTCAGCCACTGTGCTGTCATTACTAAACATAATGGAGAACTTTGCCTGGTGATTAGAGTGGCAAATATGAGGAAGAGCCTGCTGATACAGTGTCAGCTGTCTGGGAAGCTTCTTCAGACATATGAAACCAAAGAAGAAAAAAAAGGGCGGAAGCCTGCTGAATCAAGCCAGTGTCAAGTTCAACGTCGATTCCTCTTCAGAAAGTCCATTTCTCATTTTGCCTTTAACCTTCTACCACATTTTGGATGAAAACAGCCCTTTGAGAGATCTCACACCTCAAAATCTCAAGGAGAAGGACTTTGAGCTTGTGGTGCTCCTGAATGCCACAGTGGAGTCCACCAGTGCTGTCTGCCAAAGCAGGACTTCCTATATCCCCGAGGAGATCCACTGGGGCTACGAGTTCATGCCTGTGGTTTCTCTCTCCCCAAATGGAAAGTACGTTGCGGATTTCAGTCAGTTTGAGAAGATTAGGAGAAGCACAGATTCCACTTTTTATACTATGGATTCTGAAAAACAAAAACTTGAGGAGAAATACAGGCAGGAGGATCAAAGAGAGAGGGAACTGAGAACAATGTTGTTACAGCAAAGCAATGTTTGATTGAATAGACAAAAATTCAGATTAATCCTTGCTAAAACTGAGAAAATAAACTCTGTGTGCTAGATGTCAGCTATGAAACCAGCATTGAAGTCCTTTTCAGTAAATAGCTCTGGTGTATAGTAAACCTATCCCTTTGTTTTGCTGAATTGTTAATCAAGTATTTTGTAATTAGGCAGGGTTTCTTTGTTCATGATTGTGACTTAGCAAAGTTGGATTTTTCTTAAGCTTCTGCCTTATATCACCACAAAAAAAGACACACCACTTCCCATTTGGAAAGTGAAACTGGATGCACTGTGCTGATTTCTTCACATATTTATTTGTCGGGGTTTTGCTGTGAGCATGCATTCACAGAGACAGCACATAGTGCTGCTAGCAGAAAACAGGCTCCTTTAAAGTATGTGTATTTAAAATTTATATTCTTGTATCAGATATTGCCTTCACAGGGATTGTTGGCACTGAAAAGTAAGTTGATTGGAGAGACAAATGGTTGCATCCGAGCAGGAAGATGATAAACTCCTAAAATCTTGAAGCAGGGTGACAGAGTCATCATGCTGGGTGGTGAGGAAGTGAGCTCACAAGCTCTGTCTCTGCTACTCAGAGCTTGTTTTGTGATCACTCCCTTGTTTAACCTAGTTAATGCCTGATTTATATATAATAGAAAAAGGGGAGATGAGGGAAAGATACACAGAATCATAACAGTAATCAATTAAGGTTAAAGCTGGCTTTGAAATACCTGGTTTTTATCCAATGTAAATAGTTTATGATAGCAGCATAACAATACATTTCTCCAGATTGCTTGCTTTGCTATGGGCTGTAATTTTGGTTAAAAGAAAATTGTATAATGTCTTTAGACAATATTTACTTTTTCTGGCAGCCATAAAGGACAAGCATTCCTTTCATCCATTTCATTTTTGGTCTATTAAAACCATTCCATTAATAAAGGAATTTAATTTGAGCAGCTCCTGATCTCTTTGTGGCATGGGGAGAGGGTGTGGTACATCGGAGATGTTGAAAGATTCAGGTGCTTGCTGTAGGCAGTTGCATCCAGCATACAACCCAGGGACTCAGTAGATCACTAAAATGGTCACATTAAGGGTAGCAAAGGTAGCACCATGAGGCAGCAGTGGTGCTGACATAGTAGCCCTATTATGGGTCAGCTTTTTCGTTGGGACTTAGAAATTATTTCTGACTCATTTCTGAGTTCTAGAAATTTTGCTACTCTAAAGCTCTGGCAAGGAAAAAGTGGTATTAAGTGCATATTTTGGGTCTGTGGGCCAGGTCTTGGCCTGAGAGCTGCCGAGGCCTGCAGGGATGAAAGGACTTTTGGCTTAATTGCATTTACCGTTACTGTGCTTAGCTTCCCGGCACCATGAGACCTAGTGGAATGCAGCCCTGCAGTCTGCCATACAATACTCTATTCAACAAATTAATCTCATTTGGTGCTAATGTTGGGCACAGAGTTGTCCATGGCACCAAGAATGAATGACAAGAAGGGAGCATATACTTTGTGGGGGGAGGTGGTAGTGGTAAGGGAGTGCATGAGAGGCTTAAAACTACTTATTTAGGTAAATGGTTAGCTCTCCTGTGTGAGATGTCACAGATCTAAGTACTTGTCTAGAGAGAGACTTAATCCAAGAATCTTCCCTACCCACCACAACGTAAACAAAGTTTCTCAAACCGTTGTAAATGCAGGGCCCAACTAGCATTTTGGAAAAAAAAATATAAAAATAATGCAGGAGGTATTGTGCTGTGTTGTTACACAGGTTTTCATTTACAGCCACGTGTAGAGGATGTTAATGTTTATATTATTTCTTGTTAATTTTCAGTTTTCCTTCACTTTGTTTGATCACTTGTTTCATTGCAAGGAAGTGTGTGTGGTCCACCTTGTAGACCTGAGGTTCATGTCTTACAACTCAGAGAACACTGCTTTGGGATGTTGAGGTTAAAGTGTCCCAATGTCTTCTGCCAAGCTTTAGCTTCCATGTTTTGATATCAATCATACACTCCAATTCTTTCTTACCTGGGTAAGTGGTCGCGTCATTCCAGAAGTCATTGTCTCAGCTGATACTAAGATTGTACACAGCAAGTGAGTTGGTTCATCTCCAGAAATACTTGATCATTACCTGATCTCCTTCCTCCCATCCCCTTCCCATCTCTGGAAGGAGTCACTTGGCAGCTTTCAGGTGAGCACTCATCCATTTCAATAAGCTTGCTATTGCACTTTCTTTCTTATGTATTAAGGAATCCTACTGCATTGAGCCCTGTAGGGTACACAAGTGCCAAGCCCAAGTGGGCCTAGGTATTTCTTGAGTGTCAGATCTAGGAAGTCTTGTGGCTAAGCAGCTGCATCAATGTACTTGTGTGGGAACATGTGGGAGCCATTTAGGAGCCTACAGAGCAGGCTACTGAAGGCTTTGACAGCTGTTGAGCAGAAATTTTAAAAGTTCTTCACTTTGGGAGCTAAAAAAGCAGGTATAGACTTAAGTTCTTGTGTAAGCCAAACCCAAGGTTCAATCTCTATGTTCACTAGGCCATTCCAGTCATTAGGTTACTCTGAAGAAAAAACATCATAAGCAAAAACCCTGGAAAGAAGAAAAAAAGCAACACAGAAATTATTTTCTATGACCTTTTAGTCCTACAAGTCTTTAAAAAAAAAAGAAAAAAAAAAGAAAAGAAGACAAGAACACTTGAGCCTGCATATTAATATTGCATGCATACATTAGTATAATATATAATCACAGCTATTCTTTCATTCCAGCTTCAGAACACAGTCTTAACTCTGCAATGAGCTGTACTTTTCCTGTGTGCTTTTGTGCAAGGATAACTCCCATTGCTCTATCCGCAAGTTAAGAGCAGAAGTGGCCTTGGAGCAGCATTCTAAGTTGCAGGCTAGTGAATTGCAGTGGAAAAATATAATGACGTGGATCTAATGTGAATCAACAGCAAACCACAACCTCTCTCTGCTTGTGGTAAGCTCTTCCATTTGTGTGTACACAGCTATGGTAATTTACCTCAGCTGAGGGCTGACAGGATGGAGAACCAGAAAGCAAAACGTGCATGGCCACCCCAAAGCTGCCTTACCTATGGGTAAGGAGTGTCCTACCCACAGGATGATTGAAGTGTGAGAGCTTTCTTGTCTGCTGACTGCTTGTCCCAGGTGTGTTGTGTCAGAGCATCCACAGCTCCAGCATGTCAGGTTCCTACACAGCTGGCAGCAGTACCCTCTTACTCCTCTCCTGGTCTCACAGATGGAAGGTATCACTCTGGGAACCACCAAGTTGAATAATTATACTAGTCCTTAAAATGTACCAACTTTATGAATAAATTTAAATTGAACCTTGTTCTGGTTTGTTTTGGTGGATTTTTTGGTAGTGCAGGAAGGGCCACAGGAGTGGCTCCAGTAAGAAGATGAGAAGCTCCCCCTGCTCCAAAGCCAGCCAAGGAGCCATTAGAGGGACAATAGATGTGCCTCAGCAATTAATATACCAAAGAACTGAGATAAGACCTGAGCAGAGGAGCACTTAAGAGAGAGAAGAGCTGTGCTGGGGAAGGAGAGCAGGGCTGGTGGTTGGTGAGGAAGAAGGGGAAGAAGGTGCCCAAGCAGAAGTTTCCCTGCAGCCCATGGCGAGATGGAAGCTGTGCCCCTGCACCCATGGAGGAACATGGTGGGACATTCCCTGAAGGCACCAGGAGGGGTGAACTTGGCCAGTGCACTTGGATTTTGTAGCCAGTGGACTCTGATTGCGCAGCTTTGGAAGACCCCGGGCCAGGGGAGGTGGCTGTTCTCGAAGCCCCCATGACTCTGTGGGAAGCCCAGGCTGGAGCAGCTCCGGACCTTGTGGGAAGGACTCAGGAAGGAGAGGTTCCTGGAGGACTCTCTCCCATGGGAGGGACCCTGTGGGGAAGAAGGGGAGGACTGTAAGGTATCCTTCTTCCTGAGGAGGAAGGAGCAGCAGGAACCACCAGCCTGTGAAGTGACTCTAAACCCCATCCCCTGTCCCCCTGTGCCGCTGGGGGGAAGGAGGGAGAGAAACCAGGAACAAAGGGATTTGGGCCCAGGAAGAAGGGAGGGGTGGGGTAACATATGCAAGCCCTGCTCTTTGTGCTGTCTGTGTCCTGTGTGTGTTTGATTAGTGTGAAATTATTGTTTTTCCACAAGTTGAGTCTGTTTTGCCCAGGACCTCAATCAGTGAAGAAACCTCCTTGTCCTTTGTCTCAGCCTATGAGCTTTGTCCTCCTCATCCCAGAGTGTGTGTATGTGTGGAGGACAGTTGAGTGAGTGGCTATGGGGCTGTTTCTTTTGTTGTCATGTTGGACCCAAACCACAAGAAACCTGAATCTAAAATTGCAGGGACTGAAGAAAGCTCCATGTTCCGCCATAGACAGGTATTACTAGATCATTCAGAAGAAAGTAGTCATGGTAAATTAAAATCCACTTTTTAAAATTTACTGAGGCATATGACATATCTTTCTTTTATCCATGTGATATGAGTGAGCAGAACATTTTTAGAGTAGTTTTAATTACTCTGTCTTGTACAGCACATAGCTTAATGGGAACTTGTTTCAGCTCATGGACTGTTACTGAACTATTTGCTTTGGCTTCAATACGTCCAGCCCCTCCCTTTCCCCCCTCATCCCTTTTTTTTTTTCTCCTGTGGAGGTATATGATTGAAGAAGCATAATTTCACTTCCATTGCTTCCTTGCAATGACTTCAAAAGGGAAGAAATGAGAGACTGTAGGCTGACTGTGCCAGTCACATCCACCATCCTTCACGAACGTTTCACTTCATTTTCCAAACTGACGACAATGTTTGTGGGAAGTCAAGAATTTGACTGGGGACCATACTGGTCTCCAGAAAAATGTGGTTCTCTGATTTTCTAAATACAGGTAGGAGGGCAAATAGACCTAAAAGATATTGGGGTAGGTGTTGAAGAATGGAAAAAACAGAAAAAAACCAAAAACCCAAGCATGCACACTTACTTTAATGTCTATGACTGAA